AAAGCGAAGTCTGCAGGCGGAGTCACTGGTAAAAAGGAGGTGTCACTGAAGCAGATTCGCGCCTGAACTTCTATTGCTTACATACCACCTCAGAAAATGATACATATAAGGTTGCCCACTGCGGACCACTCTACGTTTCCGACGCAATCTTTAACACATTTATGAGTTATCGCGAACCGTTCCCTTAACAGCGAAAAGATCGTCGAAGCCTTCTCCAGGGAAGTTTAAGGAGAACGGAAACCCAGTGTCGATAGTCTGTAGTGCTGTTCACAAGTGTGCAAACCGAAATTGCCAACTGCATCTGGCAAGCAAGTTATGAGCAGATACCGAACCACCTTTTTTGAGAAGTTGTCACCAGGGCACGAAACAAAGGCGTTTTTACGAAGGGTTCACGAGAAAGCAGATGTGATATTCGTTCGGGATGTCAAGCTACCTAGCTACAAAGTTCTAGCCGAACCGATTTCTTCCCAGACTTTGAAAACTTTATTGAAAGGTAAGTAGTGCCTAGCTGCAACTCCTGATCAGCTTCACAATGATTTTCATGGGACGAGAAGTCGTGCAAAAACTTTTGTATCACCTCGACGGGTCTCCGTCGACGAATCAAATCCGTTGTCTCCCATTCGGCTACAGTACGATCTTTACCCGCGCTCAACAGAGTTCCTTTCCGGCTAACACACAAGGCGAATACTCCTCCTGGATGTACTCCATGAGCCTGAAACAATTTCATGAGAATTATGCATTTCATTTTCTTTTTTGCTTTTTTTATTGCGAACGGAAGCTATACCAAAACGAAATAATAAAACTTCAGCAATGAATAATACTACTTCACACTTTTATTTCTTTCATATTTTCATGCTTACCTTGACTCTGTGAAAGAAAGGGATGGCTTTTTCATGCGGGAGAAAACCAGTGGAAACCACATAATTTCACTAGTTCTCTGATCTATTTTTCGTTGATGCACACGCACGAAAAGCAGTCACTCCGAGACCTTACTGAACTGAACGACTGGTCAGAGTGCTACCCAGCACTCTGATCAGTCATGCAGTTCAAAAATGCTCTCGGCTTGGATAAAAACACCTGTTTCAGACGCGTTTCCATGCTCAAATCTACCCGCATCAAGACAACTGGCACAAATTTCGTCATTGGAAACTTGTAGAACTCTCAATCATTGCTGTTTTGGGGTGAGAGACACAAGTTCCACGTGGACGCGCGAAAATAGCAAAACACTCCCAGCTAGTTGCCTCGACACACTGTGACACCTCTACACTGGGTACGTTCCTCAAGTAGATACCGTTGTGAACGCCAGGTCACCTGCAAAGCTGCCCTCCCCCCCTTTGTCGCGACGTCGAATAACTTCTTATACCCTTGAACATGCTTGTGCTTGTTTTCTGATATAATTAGTTCTGCAATAACATCCTCAACTTCTTCACTTGTTGCTTACCTGTTTTTTTTGGTTTTGAAAGTAGTGGGATCCCATAGAGAAAGTGTTCCATTTGAGTCACCCGTAATCACATCGCCAGTCTCCGAGAAACACATTGAAAGCAATGTTTTTGGCTTATCTCTACCCTGAACGACTAAGTTCGAGGATAAGGAATAGACCGGGAATATATGAAAGATGAAAACATTATGAGAAATAAATTCAATGCAATAAAAGAAGGATAGCGTAGAAGTAAATAAGAGAACAGCAAATGAAAATGTTTGGACCACCTCAAAAATAGCGAGCTCCGGACCGTTCTTGGTTTAGCCGCCTCTCGTTGTGGCCGCATCCAACCTGCCAGAACATGAAACACCAAATGTCCACGGGCCGGTACCACCAACAATCAACAATTTTTTTATACGCCGCGCATCGGTGCCCAGCCTGATGGCGCAGTTTTAATTTGATCATTGCGCTCGGGTTACAAAAAAAGCTCAATCATCATTGCGTCTGCTCAAAGCACCGGTAGGAAAACACCAACTTACAAATTGAGAGTAGACCCTGATTCTCTCTCGTATATTTGATCACGTTGGGAGGGTACAAAGGGAGGTCATAGTCCCCACCATCATTGCGGACCCCAATCCGTACCGGCGGGCCCGCTGGCATTCCAGTGCCTGGGCTGCGTTCTGGCGGCCATGTGCCAAAGTCGTTCTGTACCTAGTTGTTGAAGCGGGCAAGTGCATTACTGTATTATATCCTTCGTATTACTCGTTTTCTACCACTTTTTGTCGCATACGCGTTTCAACAAAAAGGCTGAGAACGGCTTCAACAGTGTGCACACTCATACTGGCTGACACGCCCCACCGGTCCGCAATGATGAGAACTTTATTATGACTTTGGTACACTTGGGCTGAGAATGAAAGTCCAACTGAAGGGCTCACGGCAGTCATGTCCGCTTCAATGCAGTTGGCACGATAATTCGGTACTCGGCCTAAAATGCTGGAAGAGCGCTATATACGGAGAAAATGGTGAAAAGACTAAGTGAAACTGTTGAAAACCTGCGAAGAAATGCCTTCATTCTTAATGACTTGGAAAAGCAATTCCGATCGAGTTCCCCGTAAGGCACCTTAGCAATAAACGCTTTCACCGGATAGAATACGGACCTGCACGTACTCCTCAGCTTTCATGTGTGTCCATGCCAAGCATCCGCAGCCGCCTCCATATCATACCGCCTTGGCTTCATAATTTACTAGCAAAGAAGCAATGGAAGCATCAGGAACGGTCTTCCATATTGCTGGGCGGGCGGACGCTGGCGGCGTTTCGGGTCGGTATACTATTGCCATACATTTTACGCGACAATGTCGGGGCGGGTCAGTGCCGGGCGCGTCTTCCCGCCCGGTTCCAAAGTCTGGGTCATCTGCCCACCAGTTGTTGCACCAGCGGCCAAAAAGTCAGAATGATTCATAACCTAGCATTACAACTCATTCGTGTATGTTACTGCGTTTTCTAGCCACTTTTTTGTCCGCATACGCGCCTCTCAAAGGGAACAAGGCTGAGAACGGCTAAAATAGTGCTGCGCACTCCTTCTTGGCCGCGACTACGCGCCGACAGTCGTAATGATAGGCAGTGTATTTTTGTGGCGCCTCCCGGACTAGTGACCCCTTCTATAAGTGTACGGGCTTAATCTGTGCACAAAGCTGCCGCTCCACGCAGCGCACCAAACAAACACCCTGCCTGCTCAACAGTTCGCCAGAAACTCTCCTGCTGCCAAATGCGCCATGAATCCCTAACTCAACCGTCCTAGCATGGACTTTATGCGTGCAAGTGCCTTCAAAAAATACAATTTATATCACCGCCAACCCACGTCGTGCTCGCAATCAGGCCGTATTCACCTACAGCGTTCCCACCACTGGTTGTTATTGTTCCTAAATCGATCACTGCTCGATTGCCATTGGTAGAGCGAGGCAGCCTCATGTCGTGCTGCTCTCGCCGTCCCCGACTGGTTATCATGTTATAAACTATACATATCTAAAGACCTCGTCGTTAATATCATCAGAAGCCGAGACCCATAAATCTATAGAAAACCAGTACGGGGAGGGGGGGGGGGGTCAACCAATGAAGACAAATTGTACACCCACTTTTGTGGATGCTTGCCCTTGTCATGTGCGAGGTGAAGGGGACCGCAGCTGAGGTAGCTATTTTCTCCGCTGAAAAATGCCCGGCTGGGGCAGTGATACCAGGATGCCGTCTCCCGACTTAGCCCACACTGCCGCACGGAGAGGCGCTCACCCAACCATAACCATATGCATTACTTGACTACGCCCTCTCAGCTCTGACTGTTCTCTATTTCTAATTGTATGTTTGTCACGAGATTTTGGTATCGAGGCTGCAGCTGAAAGATAGCGCGAGCAGAGTCGAGATGGCACCCGGATATTACTACTCACAAGTCCCAGTCCTGTGAACGTCTGAGCTAAAGATACAGTGGCGCGCTACTGCAGCTGCAGTCCTGCACATCTCACACATGGCTAGAATCGGGGCTTTGAGAGACTGAAAGTACAGTTTTCTCTCAAGTTCAGCTTGAGCAGTGCTATTTGGTCTACATTTTTATTCTGGTCTGGCTTGCAGATTATTTGCAGATCATCCATCATTTGTGAGCTTATAGCAAAAATTTCATGGCTGGATATTACTGATCATGGACGGTGTTCCAGCTATTGCAGGAGCACGCGAAACAACAGTATCAATCAATGAGATAATTTTAAAATCATGATATTGGAAACTGAGCCGAAAGTGCAAGTTAACTTGCATTTCGAAACCAACCTTAGCCTCAACTAGTTTGCTTTCGCTGGACCACTTCCAAACAGATAATATGTGCTGATAGGATTCATCTATGCAAGCGAGTAAATTTCCACCTGCAAATTGCTTCGGCTCTTGTAGTATCGAAATAGTAACATAGTTCTTGGGTTATCAATGCTAGGAGATTGTTTTTTAGTTACCATCGGTACTGGAAAATGCCAGCGCCGCTATCGCCTTTTCGAACATTGCTTTGGACCCTCCAATAACATGCAGTGTAGCCAAAGTAATACTGTCCCAAATCCGGATGTGAGCCTAAATATGGGTTTTGAAGTTGAAATTTAGCGTCGGATCAAATGACTGCAAAAGACGCAGCTGGAGAAGATAGGCTCTGGAGCTTAGCCATCTCTCAATTTCTTCTAGTTTAATTTACGAAACGAGGTGGCACAGTTGAGAAGCTTAGACGATAATATTTTGCCCGTAATACCATATTCGATTCAGGGCCCATCATTAGTTGGGGATTTTGATCAAGTCCGCACGACACGCCTCCCCTCCCCTAAGAAGAGCTTGATACGATAAAAGTTAACAACCAGAAAAAAATTTCCTTGACGTCGTAAATGTCTCTCAGAAGGCAAGTACGACCCCCCCCCCTTGTAGCGTCCGTGGGACAAGAAAACTCAAATATCAAAAGAATTTCTCTGACCACATACACCCCCCTCCCTGCTGGGATCCTCAACGATATGTGATCTGATTGGATTGAAGCCAGGGCACGTCCTAACGCTGGGGCAAAATTTCTAAAAATGACCTACCCCCCAAATTTTATATTCTGGTACGGCCCTATTCCTATCCTATCTACCATATTTCTCAAATTTCCCAACTTGCTAATACTTTCCTGTAGGTTATATCCCCGAAAACTTATCTAGTTTTTCTCAAAAGGCTGCCGCTAGGCGGAGGGAGAGTGTAGGAGGGGTTATGTGCAGCGCATGTCAAAAGAGAAAAACGAGGAAAGTAAACATAGAAAACCTTCTACTCAAAGTCAATTAGTCCCTCCAGCATCCCAATAGGACCCCTCCTCTGGAAGGATCCCAACATAGGAAAAGTCCTGGTGGAGGCACACCTCCTCGATTCTGCGTTGAATTGAGGTGTTTGTAGCAGCATGAAGAATTTTCACAAAATGGCAGCGATTGTCAAACCCCCATACCATTCAGAAAATCAGCTGTGATTCCAAGAAGAACCTCCATTCCTTTCACGAAGGGAATGTGTTTACCTTCTTTTTTCACAGTTCAAGTGGACGAAATAAGTAGTGACTGTACCTCAGTGTGGTTGTGGTCTAATTCATTCTCAATATCAAGCGGTGTGACAACCGTGTCGCGACGATCAAACTCCGGTCGACGATCCCGTCGATGGCACGTGGTCTGACCACTGGCGACAAGTACTCGGCTTGGATGGATGCAAATGC